CAAAAAAACATTGAGATATTTAATAAAACCAATAACGGAGTTATGACCAAGGGTGATTCGATCTGCTAGAAACTATATCTTAGCTGGAACTCCTTGATGGTCGCATACTGAGCTGTTATTTCTGACCTCATGAAACGAAGACCCGTAAAGTTCCGTACCGGATCATTTCCGCGCACCTTTCAGTAGCGAGCGGCATATCCCCCCATCGCTAACTACCACTTGATATCAAATAATCGGTCGTTCATGAGAATGTTCTTTGCGGACATCTTGACTCTTTCTCTTCAATTAATTATACAAACTTTAATTTGTTTTGAAAAATCTTTTGAGTTTTGCACAGCCATAATAGAACCCATAGTAAGGAGTCTCAACCCAAAAAAACCTCACGGTCCGAACAGTAGGTGAATTAAGAACTTGCACTAATCTCAAAAAGGCAGTAAACGATCTAAAAGCTCAAGTCAAATTTAATGTGCTAGTATGTCACGTAAAATGTTTCTATCTATGAGGACACGAAAATAAGTAAAAATTTCAGATTGACTAAAGTACCCACCTGTTGCAGGAACTTTGTTTGTGAGATATTCTCAATCAGGGCATTGAGTTCATCTATAAGAGAATTGAGCCTCGTTACTCTGGCTTTAGTAGCAAGAACTTTCAGCTTGATGTGCTTCATAGTATCGACAGTACCGGCCCTTTGGGTGTCCATGATTTCGCAAAGCTGAAGTGTACAATGTAACTGGAGGAACAATCCTACATATGCCCAAAAACTTGGTGGAGTTCATGATAGGCTGATCACAAATTCTTGCTCTATTTTCAAAACCTCGTTTAGCTTGGATAAGAGGTAGTAGAACGTTGGTTGTTTATTTGAGGGTAAACCGCAAAACACCGTATGAATTTTAGCGATTAGTGTCGATAAGTTCACTAAAGCATGTAAGAACAACTCATCGTAAAGATAACCACACAAATTTTACCATTAAGCGCACGCCAATTTCCGGTGCATCTCCTTTGGATGTAGAAATTTATGAGTTAAACGATTCGTGCTGCCGTTTGATGCGCAAAAAACAAACCTCCAAAGTGCGAATTTGAGGTAAAACAAACATGTCGATCAACATTTGAAGCTAGATTTACGCAAGAAAAAAAAGCGTTCAGCCCTTAACCCCTTACTTAACCTAAAGTAGGTCTTCAAATTGTCATATCGAAAAGAAGTCCTGGAACACTGAGTTGATGTTTTCGAGAAGAAATATATCATTTAGTATAAATTTTCCTCCACTTGGCCAAAAATTGATCTTACAATGCCGAAAACGCGTTTGTTATCATTAGATACCTGGTCTCGCAGTCATGATCCACTTTTCGCCAGCTATAAACGCACATACAATTTTAACCCATAACAACGGTAACCGAACGAGATTCAAGATCCTTATGGGTGGAAATCCAAGTTCGGGGTGGTAAGCCAAAACTAATATTTAGAGGTAGAAAATGCTTAAAAATGGAAAAAAATACTATCGAGCAAACAGTGGAATCAGATTTTTTCTGACCTGTAGATAACTGATTTCAAAAAAAAGGATGACCGTCTTATTACGGACTTAGCAGCAACGCGGTTGTCGACGCCAAGGTGACAAGCTTAAGAACATTTGTCACAGTATGTGGTGTGCGATTACTGATGAATCTCATAACTGTCAGTACCAACGAGACGTAACGCCCCTGACCGTCTCATATCCTAGGAATCGAGTATAGCATGGTATGATAGCCGATGCGGACCCAAATAATGTCGAACTCGATTGTACAACTGATATGCAGCACTTGAAATCTGATTTGAGGCGATATCAAATGTATAGCCAACAAAAAAATCTATTTGCCTGTGTAGTCGCACAACAATAGTGATTCTGGATATGACAGAGCGCCTCAGCTGATCGAGTGCACGGGTTTATCGTGTTTATCTACTTCCATTCCTCAATTAATTTTTGTAATCACCTTGAACTTCATTGTTCAATTCCCCAGTCAAGAAGATATTTGATTTTTTTCCTATTTTTGAGGCATATAATGAATGGACACAATGGAAGACTTTTGAGATCGTATTTGCTGCTGTGATTTTGCATCATAGTGATTACTTTTAGAAGTACTATAAATCTTGGTTAGTTTGCCTCAATCTCCTCTCTTGAATGTGACTTTGTATGTTTCCTGCATACACTTTCAAGAGGAAGAAATTAGGAGCAAGCGCTAACACCAATAAACGTGAAATCGCTTCAAAAAAAAGCTATTCACTTTAACGCAAAACATAATAATAGGAAATATATGCCATTAAAGGTTAAAT